TGGAAAAAACACGTAAAGAGAAGACATTGTTGATTGTTAACTATCGAAATTTTCGCGGGCGCGGGGAAAACCAGGTGGCGGAGAAAAGCTTGGTGTATATTCAGGTGATGGTGTCGGAGTTGAACGATACTCTCGTGTGCGATATTGGTACGGTTGGTACGGTTGATAGCGTGATGATCGAGTTCGTTGAATAGGTTCGGTCATACCCTCGGGATCTGTCGTCAAATCGATAGTAGGCACTGGTTCGTGTAGAATTTCGATAACTTCTGTGAATCGGTAACGGCGGTTTCCAATACGAAGAATAAAAACTCGTTGATTGATTACTGATGACATTTTTAACGACTGAACTTTGTTCTTAACAATGAACTTTAAACTTATTATGAATGAAAAACGATTTGATCGAATCAGTTGATACTTTGGCGAAGCAAATTAAAGTGATGAATTCAAAAGACAGACTGGCTTATATATGTTACGGTTCGGGAGCTAGCTCCAATTTCGAATAAAAGTAGCATATAATTGCAACCAAAGCAAAAACAATAAAATAGATCAACGTGAAGTGATGTAAATGACTCCAGAAAGAGTAAACATCATTTATTTTCAAAACATCTATAACATCATCCATTAACTCTATTCTAGAGTTATTTTCCGCGGGCCACTTGATTGTGTGAATCTGCAAAAAAGTATCTGCATCTGTCGAAGTTTGTATTCTTTTTCCCCCTTTGATGAAGGTTGTGGTCGTTTGCAAATTGCATCGCCCGCTGAATGAAATTATGCCATTTCCAAACAAATCAAAATCATAGACTCTTTCATCACATAATAAATTAACATTTGTTTTGTCTTTAACACTAAACATCCATCGGTTTGAACTTATTTGAGTCCAAGCTTCCTCATTCGGTAACACATCATATTTACATGTCGAAGGTGTATTGTTACTAAACAACTGAAATTCGCAAATGTTTGCATTCTTTCTTACAATTAACGGAGCATCAAATGAGCAATAGCTGGCATTGTTGAAAACCTTGCAACTGTCTAATTCTGCTTTCGTAAACATGTAAATATAATTGTCGTTTATCCATAAATGATTTTTGTTTGTTTTTAATGTGACCATTCTGTTTTGATACACAAATGGAATGGGATTTAGCTTAACAGTTGAATTGATTTGTATCAATTAGCGGTATTTGCACCATGATCGCTAGAACTTGTGAAGTTGAAAATACCTCCACCGTTGATAATTTATAAATTGCTAACATTTGATCATTCACATTGTCACCGATTAATCGAAGATTTTGTCGTAAATTTTCTGAAATCAATTGTATTTGTGACGTTAAAACATCCGGTTTCAACCATTGCGGAACTAATCTTTTTTCACTTGCCAACATTTCAAGAATTGCTTGTTGTTGTTTTTCAAATTCAAGCGCTGCCATCATAGTATAACTTGTTGCCCAGTGACTGGTACGAGAAAATTCTTCCTCTGTTTCTGTCATCTGTTTTAATTCCGAAATTTTCTCATTAACCATATGCATCATTGATATTTGTCGTCGATTCATTTCTTGTAACTCATCTGCCGGACTAAATAAAGAATCCATTATTTTTGTACCAATCCAACCCATTGCGGTACCAAGAAGTGTTGCCAAAACCACGCCGCGTTTAACATGATGATTTAATTTTGATTTAATTACTGTATCATACATTTGAATATCGTTGATTTTTTTTGTAAATTCATCCACTGTATCCATACAAACAGTATTATTACCGCACTGATCTTGCATTTCTTCGACATTTTTTTTCAATGTAATTAAATTTCCGTTGTATAGATCAATGTTAATGTGCGTAATCAAATTCCATCTGCTATTTGTCATAAAACCAGTTCCACACTATTGAAAATATGCACATGAATCATTATGGAACTGAATTACACTATATTCCTTTTGTGCTGATACATTTGTTGTGAGAGCGCTAAAAACGACCAACGCTGAAAACACACAGAAAGCTGCACCATGTACAATGTTCTTGACACGTTTACCGATTTTTTTCGTTCCAATTTTCTGGTTTTCGTCCACCTTTTCTCCCAAATTTGTGTCTGCAAAAGTCCGAGGAATTTTTATGTTTGGCTCCCCTTCACCCCTGGGAAGAGGCGATAACTTAACGATTGGCCTTTTATAAATTTTGTTTTTCGCAAATACATCCACCACTCTCACCAAATTGTCATTTCCCGGATAAATTTTCGATACTCGTCCCAATGGCCAATGTAAAGGCGGTGTATTTTCCTCCATCATAAGCACCATATCTCCAACCATTAAATTTTTTTGTGGATTTTTCCATTTTGAGCGTGTCTGAAGTTTAGAAATATAATCATTCGACCATTTTGTCCAAAATTCCTGTTTCATACGCATACATAAATCCCAGCGTGTAAGACGGTTTTCCCTTGCTTGCAACAAATTTGGTTCAATTGGCGCAGTCAATGAACTTCCAATCAAGAAATGTCCTGGAGTCAAAACGTCCAAATCCTCTGGATTTTCCGTCATAGGCGTGATAGGTCGAGAATTTAAAATTGCCTCAATTTGAGTTAACACTGTAGAAAGTTCCTCATATGTTAAAATTCTATCCGCTATGGTTCTTTTGAGATGGTATTTTATGGACCCAACACCGCGCTCCCAAATGCCACCCATCCATGGACTTATACTTGGATTGAAATGGAATTTTGTGGCCATATTTGCTAACCCCTGTTCCACTTGTTCATTAAAATCTTTGATTGCTTGCTCATTATCTAAATTTAAAACCGTTCGGGCCCCAATAAAATTTGAGCCATTGTCGCTTCAGATGTTAAATCCGTTACGATTTCTATATGTATTGCACGAGTTGACAAACAAATAAAAATTACGATGTATCCCTTTTGTTTTTTCACACCTCTCGCTGCCATCATGCGTAGCCAAATTGGACCACACAAATCTGTTCCAGTGTTGGTAAACGCTTTATCCACCATCATTGTCCTTGCTGGTGGTAAACTACCCATCAACTGAAACGAATTTTGACTTCTAAATCGATGACAAACGACGCAGTTGTTTATATAAGTTTTAATTGCTCTTTTTGCAGCAATAACCCAGTATTCATGACGTATTTGACACAAAGTCAACTGATTTCCACCATGTAACGTTTTTTTGTGCGCATCATCAATAATCAATTTCATTAATTTGCATCCATACGGAATAATAATCGGATGTTTTTTATTGTAGTCAAACGCTGAATTTTGTAATCTGCCACCAACTCGCAAAATTCCATTACCATCCAAAAATGGATAGAGAGGTTTTAAACTGCTTTTGTTCGAAAATTGATTGGCATTAAATAAATCATTTATTTCTTCTTTAAAAAATTCTGCTTGACATAATTTAATAAGAGTAAATTTAGCATCATTTAACTCGTCGATATCCAATACTTGATGTTTACTTTGCAATTTGGCTGTTTCTGGATCCAATAATTGTTTTGTGTTATTATGTAATTTGAGTTGCTTCATATATCTTTTGCAAAATGCGATTGAGCGAATAGCTCTATTTAAAGTTGAAAATCTGTCCAAAACATTAATTTCCGCTTTAGCATGCATAATTGTTGTTTTATTATTTTTTTTCTCTAAATTGGTCTCAAAAGTTTTGTCATGAATGTTGCTATATAGTTTATTTAACAAAATTGATGGACCATGCCACCAAAGCTTGTTATCAATCAACTGTTTTGGCAAAAGACCCCTTGAAGCGAGATCCGCAGGATTTGCTTTGGTATTTACGTAATGCCACTGTGACTTTTCAGTGACCTGCTGCACGATTGAAACTCGATTCGCAACAAACGTTTTCCATCTGCTTGGCTCGCCTCTTATCCATGCCAAAGTTATCTCACTATCCGACCAATAGTGCGTAACAACCGACTCCATTTTGAGTGATTTTTTAACCTTTTGCATTAATTTTACCAGCAACACTGCTGCACAAAGTTCCAATTTTGGAATTGTCAACTTCTTAATTGGTGCTACCTTTGTTTTAGCAGTAAATAAATTAACATGCACCTCATCTTCATCGTAAACTTTCATATAAATACAAGCACCCATTGCTGCATCACATGCATCTGCGAATCCGTGAAGTTCAATCTCTAAATCAGTTGAACACCGAAGCCATCGTTGCGGTTTTATTTGATCAATTAATGCTATCTGGTCTTTGAATGCATTCCATTTTTCGACTACCTGCTTGCTGACTTCATCATCCCATCCGATGTTTTCTCTCCAAATTTGCTGCATTAAAATTTTGTTGTAAATAATAATTGGAGCTAACAAACCCAATGGATCGAAAATCGAAGCAATTTGAGACAAAATTGACCTTTTTGTGAATTTATTTTTACTTGCGTCCATTTTTGTTTTAAAACCGATGCTGTCTTGTTCAAAATACCATTTCAGGCCAAGCGCCAAAACATATTTGTCAGTATTAAATTCTTTGAACTGTTGTTCTTGTTGATCAAATGGAATGCTCCGCAATAGCTCCTTACTGTTTGTGACCCATTTTCTTAATGGAAAACCTGCATCAGCCAAGACTTGTGTGATTTCTTTTCTTAAATTTTTGGCTTTTGAAAGATCACCACAACCACTGCTAACATCATTCATATATGAATCGTTTTTAATGATATTACATGCCTCAGGAAAATGCTCTGATTCATTCTTTACATGATTTTGTACCGTTGCAACCGCTAAAAATGGAGAACTATTTAGACCGAAAATCACTGTTGTTAAGCAATAATCCTCCAACGGCTTTCTTGGATCATCACGCCAAACCAATTTTTGAAACACCTGATCTTCTTCACGCAAACGCACTTGTAAATACATTTTTTCAATGTCAGCTGTAAAAGCAATTTTATGCGTTCGAAATCTCAACAAAATATTAAAAAGGTCTTCCTGTAGCCTTGGACCCGTGAGTAATAAATCATTCAATGATACCCCACTAGTGGTTTTTCTGCTACCATCCAACACAGGTCTTACCTTTGTTGTAGTACTATCCTTCATCACAGGGTGATGTGGTAGATAGCAGTGCGGTTTACTTGTGTCGTTCGTACATTTTTTCATA